TGTCCGATGTGTGCCTGGAAGGCTTTGGCCTGGTAAGTCTTGGATCCAATGTGTTAGGGCAGGCTCATGTTTTTGTTTGCATGAGGACCCGATAGAAGGCATCCAAGTCATTCAAGGTATCGAGTGCTTCCAATAGTTTGTTCCCATAGTGTGCTATCAAATGCCGTTGATGTACCTCTTGACAACAGAGCTCATGGAATTTGATCGAAAATATGGAACCCACATCCAAGAAGACCTCGTAGGATTTGCTGATGTTAGTTCAGGCATGGATCAATTGACATAAAGTTTAATCGATCTCTTTGATGACTTGCGTGCATCCAAACATACATGGACACATTATCACCCAGGGAACTTGGTGATGATCCAAGTGAAGAAGCTTCGCTTTGAGGGTCTCAATATTGCTGAGAGAAGGTCTGTTATCTTTCTGCAGAAGAGCAAGAGAAACTGGGGCCCATTGTGCTTAGCTCGAGGGACATATGATTTCAATTCTCCTGGAGTGATCAGTGCAAGAGTTCAAGACAGCCTTTCCCGACCAGCCAAGAGTTGGATTAGATCATACTGGCGACATGAGTGTGCTTCAGAGTCCCAGCATCTGATTGAACCCAACCCCATTTACTGTGAGACCTGATGCCATTATTCCATCATAGACTCTGAAGACTGTCCAGGAGCATGTGAAAATATTAGATTTTGGTAATGTGTTATGTATTAAGATCACCAAACAAAAGCTCAAAGATCCATTCCATTCCATGCTATGTCATCATACTTTCAAAGGCGATAAGAGAGCAGCACACATGGACTCCAAAGCATTAGGACTCAGTCAGAGTGAGAATAGTAGACTGGTGTGAATCCTTCAGTCCTTCTTGCATGCCATTCAATTGCTGTGAGTGTATGATGTTTTAGATGGTCTCTCCATGAAAACCCTATGCCATAGGGCGGTGCTTTGAGTGTTCCTTTCCCAGTCCATCTAGAGCCAGATCCTTCCAGGCTCCATGTGTGGTATGATACCTCCAAGCCAAGGAACTTCTGTAAGCTTGGTCTCTCTCTTGGTTTCCCATAAGTGCTTGGAGGAGCTCCTGAATTGAGCTGTGGTCAAGGGTCTGAGTCATGTGGAGGACAAATGGTGATGACTGTTCAGATTCAAAGAAGTTCTGTATATCCCTGTGACGAACAAGGATGGCGCTGGTACTTGTGAAGAGTAGATGATGAAGAGGATGGTAAGATAAGGAAGCGTCGTCAGGTCCATTAATAGCTGATGGAATAGGAGGCAGTGAAAATCAACAAGGTCAACAGTTCGGCAATGGCAACAAGAGAATGGCAACAGGAGGAGGAGACGGTGGTATCCAGTCAATCGAGTCAATCGAAGATGGATTTTATGAGCGTTGGACTGACGTCGAGGTTGAGGCCCACCTCGAATTGTTTGGCAAATTCAAATTATAATTTAACAGCGACAGCGCGTTGTTATCTTTCAAACGACCAACTGCAAGCCAGTTAAACGACGATGCAACAGCAAGCCAGCAACCGGAGGAACGGCCAATAATAGGGGGTAAAGTGGCTCCGGAAGCAAGACTCAATGCAGACACACAACCCGAGTCGTCAAGATAATAAGGTCCTCATCGCGATTTCGATCGAAAACAGGATAAGAAAAGGGAACAAGTGGATTGCTTACGAGCGAATCAACAAAAAGGGGGTTGCTTGCGAGCGAATCCAAGGTTTCGACAAAGGGATCATATGGGATCAATCGACAGATTAAGTTGCAATAAGGGAAGGACTACCGTGAAGATAATGAGAGGAAACTCAGGACTCTCACCAAGGGATAGTCATTCCATTGACACCATAAGGGATAGACATTATAAGAATAAGAATGAGTAACATCTCATAACCTCGCATGCTACCATGCGACAATACCATTTGATTGATTAATCTAACGATCTAAGAGATGTAAAGTTCGAAGTTGGCCTCTACCCACACAACAATCCCAACAGGACAGCTTGTACAACCGCTTAAGGAAGAAACTCAGAGGCATCCGCACCAGCTCCACCTACAACCCCACCGAAACACACGAGACTGCATTCCTCCCTGGTGGCTCGGTATGGCAACAACATGGAAGCCTCCTGTCGAATAAAACCTCGGACCATGACCAAGCGGCTTGGGACGATGGACTTCCATTATGATGCAAGGGCGAAAGGAACCACAAGCTCCGTGTGGTCACGGCCTACAACCCATGCAAGGCAGAGGCACAGACACGTGTTCCAACAACAACTCCGATACTGGCGCCGAAACGATGAGAGCAAAACACCAGATGTCAAATTTCAGGAAGACCCGACCAGTACATTGCAGTCCTGGATGGAGAACGGCAGCACATTGTCTTGATGATGGTTGCAAACCAGGACGTTAGAGACGGGAAGCTAGCCAAAGCACTTGCTGCAATTGGTTTACCGAGGCAATCCTCTCATCCCACCCGGACCAACCAGTCCCTGCCACACCACCAACGAAACCACCAGAATATCCCGATTGACGGCATGTTCACCACGCTGGACCCCTCTGCACTGACCTCTGGCTAACTAGGATTTGAGGCGGGTCTACCGGGGACCATCGACTGGCGTGGATGGACATCCCCTCACAGAAGCCTTTGGAAAACACCCGCCCAACCTCCACTCCCAGACAGGTCGGTACTTAATGTGAACGACCCAAGGCAGGTTCAGGAGTACACCAAGTCCGTCGAAGCCAACTACAAACAGACGAAGTTGAGGGAGAAGATTGATACCTCACTACATGAAGCAGAACAAACAGGGATTGCGGCTATCAAACGCATGTTCCACTGCATTGCCATGAGCAACCGAAAGATCCGCAAACAGTCAAAGAAAGAGATGAAGCTGAACAAGAAAGGCGGTGTCCCAAGGTCCCCAGAAGTACAGGGTGTCATGGACGCAGAAAACTCTGGGCATCGTAATCAAGCTCAAGATCCACCTGAAAGTGAGCAAGAAAAGGATCAAGCGCCTCATGCGCAAGTGCTCCAAATCTGACGCCTGGGAAGTCAACTTAGAAACAGCGAGGAGCCGCTCTGGAGGCCAAGAAGGAGTGGTGGAAAATGAAGAAGAAGCCCACAACTAGCGAGACTTTCTCGAACTGGCAGAGGCAAGGGCAGCCACGTATGGTACCACAGGGCATCAGAACTGAAAACGATACGTCACAGGGAGAAACAGAAGGAAGACGCACGCAGAGGAGAACAATTTCGAAGAAAGGAGCAGATAAAGAAAGAACGACGAAACTGTTCTACACCGACCACGACTTGGCTACAGGTACAGTCAGGTAGTTGAATGCGCAACCAAGTTGACATGGATGCGCTGCAATCCGTGAAGGAGAGACACGACTGTCCCGGTGCCTCCAGTCACCATTCACCCAGCCCCCATTGGACAAGACTTTGGGAACCTCGCAGACACGGAAGCAGCTCAGGCGTTTGGATGGCTCCTATGAACCACCAGAGGGCACGACAAGTACACCCGGATGCTGATCAATGCCTTCTGCAGATCTCCAAAGTGACAGAACTACCCGATGAACACATCAATGGACACCCGCCCTGCTGATGCAGCCTGGAAGAAGCAAAGAATACCACAGCCTGCGAGCCCTCTGGATGACCTTTGACACCTGATCATGGGAGCAATGGACAGGAGATTGCCATGGTGAACCGTCTTCAAATGTCCCTTTCCTCCTCGGCTTTGCACCAGAATCCCAACTCGTACGACGGACCTCGCAATCCTGAAGAAAACGGGATGCTATGAAGCTGAAAAGATGAGGTTCATCTTTCTCTCGACACCTACTTAATATGAATTGCAAGAGACTGGGACGCATCATTATGCAGCAGGCTGACAGTTGAGGGTGATATCAGAAGAACAATACGGAACCGCAAAGGCAGACACTGCATGACATGGCCTAACCATTGCTCCTCGTCGACATCTCCAGGATGAAAAGTGGGCGATGGCACTTATACCTTCGATGCATCACAATGCTATGATCGCATCAACCATGCCAGCAATCCTGGCTGGCCGGCCATTGGAATCCCCAGACACAACACAGTACAGATTTGCACCTACCAAGAAACCACCCACCACGCTTCCAATGGTGAAGGGGCTGGTCAGGGCCAACGAGAGCCCGAGGGTGCGAATGATGTTCACCATAAAGGCAAATATCAGCACTGCCCAACTTCCAGCATCACCTGTACCCTGTCCCTGTCCTCCAAGTGGCTTCTGGCCAAGGGCTGCTCGCTGGGGGCCTCCGTAGGTTTGCTTGGAGATGCCATAGGCTGTGGAAGCGTGGTGGGTGGTTTCTTGGTAGGTGCCAAATCTGTACTGTGTTGTAGTCTGAGGGATTCCAATGGCCCGGCCAGCCAGGATTGCTGGCACGTGGTTGATGCGATCATAGCATTGTGATGCATCGAACGGTATAAGTGCCATCGCCCATCTTTTCATCCTGGAGATGTCGACGAGGAGCACATGGTTCAGGCCATGATCAATGCAGTGTCTGCCTTTGCGGTTCCCGTATTGTTCTTCTGATATCACCCTCAACCTGTCAGCCTGCTGCATAATGATGCGTCCCAGTCTCTTGCAATTCATATTAAAGTAGGTGTCGAGCAGGAAGATGAACCTCATCTTTTCAGCTTCATAGCATCCCGGTTTCTTCAGGATTGCGAGGTCCGTCGTGACGAGTTGGGATTCTGGTGCAAAGCCGAGGAGGAAAGGGACATTGTGGAGTACGGTGTCGACCATGGCAATCTCGCTGTCCATTGCTCCCATGATCAGGTGGTCAAAGGTCAATCCAGAGGGCTCGCAGGCTGTGGTGATTCTTTGCCTCTTCCAGGCTGCCATCAGCAGGGCGGGTGTCCATTGCATGTGTTCATCGGGTAGTTCTGTCACTTTGGGAGATCTGCAGAAGGCATTGATCAGCATCCGGGTGTACTTTACGAGCCACAAGCTCACTCTTCCGCCCATCCGGCCAGGACACAGTTACATCCTCCTTCTCATAATCAACACCAGCAGCAGTGTCCATCCAGCACACATCATCAATCTGGGTGGCAATGCGGGCTGCCAAATCCACATTCTGGTCCTTCCAGCGCTGCTTGCAAAGGGAGCTGCCCTTGCTGAGTTCAGGGGCGATATCACATTCGACATTGACCTGATTGGGATCCTGATAGGACGGCTGGATATGCAAAGTACTCAGCACGGCACCAGGGGGCACACGGATCTGGACTCCCAGGATGTTGCACATCTTCACAACACCACCGCGGATCTTCACCTCCTCAAGCGAAAACATCTTGAGCTTCATATCTGTTTCGGTCAAGTCTAAATCCAAATTCTCGAATGCACCATGGAGATCCTCTTCGGTCTTGGTCTTTGGCTGCTTCTTGGCTGGCTTCTTGGGTGGTTCCGGTTCCTCGGCGTCAGGTGGACCAGCAAAAGGGATGTCCGGATCAGGATTGGGCTCTTTGGCTGCTCCCTCTGGATTGTCTTCTCCAAGATCTCCTGGTTGCTGGGGGTTGTTGGCACAGCTACCGGCGAGGCCAGAGTCAGTCAAACCAGAGTCGCGTTGAAAGGAGGCAGGGTATCCTAGAAAAAGAAATAAATAATGAGTGAATGGATCATGGATAATGCAAACAAGCAATGATGACTTACCAGCACCGGAAACAAGCCAAGTCTTGAAGCCAGTGGCTTGACGGTGGAAATTCGAACGCACTTTCTTGGTGGTGTCGTCGTCAGGCCCAGGATGGTCTTGAGCACAAGCTTGGACTTGGACTTCGTTCTCGTTCAGGTAGGTCTCCCAAGAGTAATCAGCTTCAAGAGCAGAGATGCCAAGGCCCTTGGCTTCTTGCGCTTTGAAGATGAAGAAGCGAGCGAAGTGCTCAGAATGTGAGCCATTTGGCTGGAAGTTCTTTTTCTTGGCCATGATCGATGATTGTGAGTTGTGAGAAAAGCGAGGGATTTCATTCAAATTCAAATCATCGCTCGTCGCTCAAATCGGTTCAAACGTCGCGCAAGGACCAACAAACACACACAACCTTGTAAGTGAACGGGGTTTTCAGGGGAAGCGCCATGGCCGACGATGTTTTGTTTACAGGAAGATCGAACATGGATGCGGTGTTTGAAAAAGTCGAAAAGTGAAGTAATGAGGATCCGGCGATCGGAAGCAATAAATCTGCCGCAAGTAGAGCTGTGTGCCACTGGTACAAGATGACATTTTCCTCCTCTTTCTTGTTCCGATTCCAACCACTCGGAACCAGCTTCAACCAACTTCAACCAACCTCAACCGACACAAACCGACTCACACCGCGCACAACCGCTCGTTTTACCGCCTTTTTACCACCTTCCACCGTCTTAGTTACCGACTTCGACCGACTTCAACTGCTCTGTTTCCACCTGCTGGCGTCCTTCAACGGCCACCACCGACTTTTGGCTTCGCATTTTAGCAATTTTCTTGACGACACACATGGCAAAATTGGTCTTGACGGCACTGACATGGCGAGAAAAAGAAGCAAAAAAGAAGCATCAGAATCAAACAGCGTACGTCAGTGGAGTTGCATTGTCCAAAATTGTACTGACGTCCGTCCTTGAGCTGAGAAAAGAATGTCGCAGCTCGTTTTTGGATGTCGCTTTCCTTTTCCACCCTGATTGTGGGACTGATACTTGCACTGACGCAGCCTGACAGCAACAAATGTCTTTAAATCCAGAATCTGGTGTTCTCAAATCAATCGGAACTCACTCGGAAGGGGGGTCAGTTTGGGTACAAGGAACCATCGGTTGAGGAGGCTATCTATTGACCAACTGCATGTGCTTGTCGCCAAGCATGAAATCTTGTCGCCAAGTTTTATGTGTAAATCCTCGCTCTTTAATTCTATTTAATGTCACAAAAGCGATTGATTTGTCCGCTGCAGGCTCTCTGTGTGAAAGTTGTACCAGGAGAACTCCGCTTTCCAGATTCTGAAGTTCTCTCTATGGATCGCCAGTCACCCTCACAACTTTCGAACTTTTCCTCTTCGAACCGACCACAAGCAAGCAATCGACAATGACAACCTCCACCGCCTCCACCGCCCATTAGCCACCACCATGTTTGCTACCGAAGGCCACTTCAGACTGGCGGCTAACAAGTACTTGACCCAGCGGAGAAACCGATACTTCAAGTCCAATTTTGGAGCCTCTCCGAATGTGTGTGCTGTGACATGGAATATGTTTGGATTAGGCGACGACAATGGTGGAGTGGAGTTCAAGTATCTCTTGTGGGCTTTGCTCTTCCTGAAGACATATGCAGTGCTGTCGGTTCTGGCGAGTGCAGTTGGTGTTACCGCCAACACCTTTCGAAAATATCTTTGGCCAATGGTTGGCCGGATTGCTGGATTGGCTCCAAAAGTGGTGAGTTTTTTGAGTTGTCGTCTTCGATTGACGACGATGCACTGACTGCTGCTCTCTCCTCCCTCTGTTTCTAGATCCGATTCAACAATCGATTATATCTGGACAAAGGCCGAACGTGCAAGTTGACCATTGATTGCACGGATTGCATGCTTTTGGAGCCTTCGCCTTTCTCCAAGAAGTGGTATTGCTTCAAGCACAAGTGTGCCGGCTATCGCTACGAGGTCGGGGTCTGCATCCAAACTGGCTACATTGTCTGGATCAATGGCCCTTTCAAGTGTGGAACCTGGAACGACTTGAGCATCTTCCGTCGGAATTTAAAGCATCGGTTGCTTCCTGGTGAGATGGTGGAGTGCGATGCTGGCTACCGAGGTGCCCAAAATGCCGCCACAAGCACATCTTTGTCAGCCACCGTGACGCTCGTGCCAAGGCGAGGGCAAGGGCATGGCATGAGAACATCAACAGCAAGATCAAGAAGTTCAAGTGCCTGGCGCAACCATGGCGGCATGAGAGGCCAAAGCACAAGCTGTGCTTTGCTGCTGTGGCCGTGCTGGCCCAAATTGGGTTCCAGGTCCACGGCGTCCCCCACCATGTCACTTACTAGCTGGTGAGGAGGGAGCTGCACTTCAGAAGATGGGGTATCGATCGAATACTGCGAAAGTGATTTGCTATGGTTCCTGGAAGTTGGGGGGTATAGAAATGTTTCGACTCGACGACAAGCAGGGAATTGGGGTCATCCAGCAGTTCTTAAAGCACTGGAGGACAAGGTGCACCGACATTGGAGACCTAAGTGAAGTCACATACGCATGGCTGCAATTCCATGCCGGAATTGGCCGGCCCATCCTTGAGGATCTTGAGATCGATTGTCATCTCCCAGTCGGGCTGTTCCAGTGCATGCGAAGGTTCCTTAAATCCATTGGAGCGAGGCACGATTGAAGTGCATAACGCCCACATTCCGCCGTTGCAGCGGGAGCAAGACTCCTACATTATGGATTGGGTGGGGTGGTATGGGAATTTCTCCGAGGCAGACCTGAAACGGATCAACTATGTGCGTCTGTACTTCCAAGTTGTCACGGTAGCTGACATCACAACAGCATGCGGCACATACATCCGGGAGGAGTTCTGGCATGGCTTTTCCAGTCCTCTGATGCCTCGCACCACCTACTTCAAGAGATTTCAAGATCGACCCAGGGATCCCAGGACTTGGTGGTTGTGGAGGAAAGCGTTATCCCTCTTCGCTCCGAATCTGACGTTGGATGTACCCCTGGGGAGGTGGCTCTTCTCTGCTGACAAGCTCCGCATGCGCCACAGGTTCTTCTACGAAGTCGATGCCAACGTCGTCTATCAACAAGTTGAAAACGAGGAGTCCGAATTCTGGATGTTCCAACATCCAGTCCCGAACACGGAACGGACAGTTCATCGCTGGGAGTTCGAAGACGAGACCTACCTGGACGCCAGCATCCTACACAACTCGGTGCCACTGGATCCATACTTCCCCCGATCTTGCACCTCAGTTCAACCTGACTCTGGAAAGCGGCGAGTCCTGGACCTGACCCTCTTCAACAAGCGTGAGACAGTGGTAGTTGGTAGTGGTTTCACAGCAGGCATTCCTGCTCATCCACTACCACCCACACCGACAACATTTGAGGATTTCCTTGCCACTTTGGAGCCTTGGGAAACAGCTCTTTATGACGAGCTTGAATGGATGGTGGACGCCTACTCAGTCCTTCAGATTGTCACAGCCATGCCCTTCTGGGTGGCCAGTGATGGGGCTGCAGATATTGAAGCCGGTAAAGCGAGCTTTGCTTGGGTTCTGGCAGACAATCGCGGTCAGATTGTGCTTCGGTGCTCTGGTCCAGTTTTTGGTATGGTTCCGACTTCCTACAGGGCGGAGGCCTATGGCATTCTATCCCCTACTTGCCTTCTTCGACGATTGCTGGAGTTCTACGATCAGACCAGGATGAAGAATTATGTACACTTATGCGACAATGAATCTGTTACAAATAAGTGCGCTGGCTGTCTCGAGTACGAGGGCTGGTACCCCAATGATTCGTTGAACTCCGACTGGGATGTCTTGCAGCAGATCGAAGCTTCGTTTCGGGCTGCCGTCACTGTGCCAAAGATGGAGCACATTAAATCGCACCAGGACAAGCACAAGGCCATTGACACACTACCCCTGAAAGCACAACTGAACTGCCGAGCTGACAAACTGGCAGGCAGCTACATGACCAGACACATCAAACAGGACCACTCCAAGGTACTCCGATTTCCGGCCAACTTGGCCCAGCTGCACCTTCCCAAAGGAACATGCACGTACAAGCTTCCCAGAACACTGCGACATCTCAGGAACGACCAGCCATTGTTCGATCACATTGTCAAACTGAATCCTGACTGGGATGAGGACACCCCAGCATTGGTCGATTGGACAGCCCATGGTCGTGCTGTCAACCGCCATGAGATCCACAAACCGACAATTGTGAAGTTTCTATTTCAATTGTTGCCAGTTGGGAAACGGATCCACCGAGACGACCCCAAGTATGATCACCACTGTCCCCGTTGTGGCGGTGATCACGAGACTGAACCCCATGTTTACCGATGCCCGCATGTTGACGTGGACTTGTGGCGAGGGACCATGCAACGAGCGATCAGCACAAGGTTGCGCAAGGATTCCACAGACCCCTTCCTCCTGGAAATTGTTCTGGATGGACTACAATACCACTTTGAAGATCGATTCCTCCACCCATGGCATTACCCAGACAGGTATAGGGACCTTGTTGACACTCAAAATCTCATTGGTTGGGATAACTTCCTGAGAGGACGCTTGTCCACACACTGGGCTAAGCATCAAGATGCATATCTGCATCGGGTCGGCTCCCAGGAGCCCACCAAGACCGGGCAGCTCTGGGTCACCAACCTAGCCTCACTGCTCATCCAGCAGTGGTGGAACCTGTGGGAGGATCGAAATGCTGCCAGGCATGGCAAAGACAGGGAAGACCAGTGGAAGAAGAAGCACGAACAGCTTCAGCGGGAGGTGGAACTCATCTACGAGAAAGCGGATCTGATCCCAGCGGAGCTGGTGGATTTTATCTTCAAGCGACCGCTTGACGAGCAAATGGCAAAGGGCCCAGGCGACATCAAAGCGTGGCTTGCCAATTGGCTGCCTGTCGTCGACAAGGCACTTAGGGACGAGCATGCACGCACAGTGCAGAACAATGACACAGGGTAACTACGCACAGAGGGGGTCTTCCCTTAGAAATAGATGGCAATCCAGCCAAGGGTAGCTAGTTAGTCGTACAGCACCCTCCTGAGTTTTGTTCATTTTCTCCGGTGGGGGGCTTACACTAGGCCCATCCTAAGTGGGCGCACTCGTGCGCCTGAGGTATATGGGTTCGTCACGGCACCGTTAAGCGGATCGTCTGACGAGGTGTAGCCTTTAAAATAAAATTTCGTTATTTTTTTTTACTAGCTGGTGAGGCAATGGTGGTGGGGCAACGGTTGTGGGGCAACGGCTCAGCAGGAGAGAAGCCCATAGAGAATCGTTGTTCTGGTCTGCTTGGTTTGATGAAAGATTTGCCTCAAGTCAAGTAGTGCAGAGCAAAGAGTCTCTTTCGGGCTTCGCCTCTGCTGTTAAACTAACTAGCTAATGCTTTGCTTGACTTGTCATTTGCTTATTCTCTAGCTAGCTAGTAGCAACCTCAATATCTAGCTAGTCAACCACCTGCAACAAAGATTTGCCTACAAGCAATATGGTGGTTGCAACCATTGGAAGACCACTCCAGACGGAAGAGGAAATGAAAAGGTGATTTGTGCCACCCCCCAGGACTCTAAGTGCAACGGAACTCGTTGAGTAAGTTGGTGTGGGCGAAGATCGCCTCCAGGCACCGAAGGCATGGTGTCAAGTGCTACAGTGGCTGGAGGGTTCCTCAATCGTGCATGACTTATATCGAAAACCGACCCTAATTTTGGGTCGGATTTAGGGACGGATTCCCCTTTAGGGTCGGGTTTCGAAACCGACCCTAAAATTAGGAACGGATTCTGAAAAAACGTTCCTAATTTAGGGACGGGTTTCGATTTAGGGGCGGGTTTGAAAACCGTCCCTAAATGGAAGCGGGACTGAGTGGTAAATACATTGAAATCCGACCCTAAAATGGAGCTGTAAGAATTTTCGCTGTTTGCTTCATCATGTGAGCAAGCTGGGGATGGCAAAAGAACAAGCCGGGTAGGTGTGAGAAAAGAAAGGGTACCTGTTTGTGGTGATTTCAAAAATAGACACATAGAGACTGGTAAGGTATAGGACGGGAAACCAAGCTAAACTAAACCGTAATCCAATACCTCGATGGGGCTGTGATGTGTGTGTGGTGTGTGGTGTAGGTGTGTGGGTTGTGTGGGGTGTGTGTGCAGGAGCGACTGCATGGAGCCCATATCTTCCGAACTTGGATTAATTCTCAGGAGCGCCCTCAATCGTGGGTGAGTTTCAAATACGACCCAAATCCGACCCTAAATCTTTGAAACCCGACCCTAATGTCCATGTAGCTAAATTAGGGTCGGTTTTTACAAACGAAAACCCGTACCCTCTATTTTTTAGGTCGGTTTGAAACGTCCCTAAATTATGGACTTTTTTTCAGAAACCGTCCCTTATTTTAGGGTCGGTTTCGTAAAACCCGAACCCTATTTTAGGTCGGATTTCATGTATTTACCACTCAGTCCCGCTTCCATTTAGGCGGTTTCGAAACCTGACCCTAAATCGAACCCGTCCCTAAATTAGGAACGTTTTTTCAGAATCCTCCCTAATTTTAGAGGTCGGTTTCGAAACCCGACACTATTTTAT